TATATAATATAAACTTTATTTTTTTTTTTTCAATTAGTCTTGTTTCATTCATAAAAATATATACATATATTTTTTAAATCTATCATTTCACTCTAGAGCCAGAATCTCTATGCCGGCTAGGGTATTTGAGTCTCTGGTCTGCTCCAGCTAAACATTCTCTCTTGTTTCCTTTTTATTATTTTATTCAAGGTCAGGCGCGCTTATGCGCTGAATGGGCGCGTGTATATATATAAATATTTAGGTGCTTTTTTAATGACCACATTTGCCTTGGCTAAAGCGCTTTCTTTGAGCCATCTGCAATGAGGCTTCTCGGCTAGCAGCCCTCGAGTTAAACAAGTGAAAACGTGGTAAAACTGACTACACAATACACTGTTAAGACATTAATAGCCCAAGAATAGATTCAAAGGCATGGCTTCAAGACTCAGGATCAAGCTGTATAAATATTTACGACAAATTAATCAGAATAACGGTTTGTATTAATTCGATGTACCATTTTGCTTAGTCTATATACATATATTCCTATAATCAATCTACACAAAGCCTATATACTCTCTTTAAACATCGAGCACAAAGACAGACAACTGCAAAATTCAATTATTTCTATTCATCGGCTTAAATTGATGCTTTGCCTCCGATTAATGGCATTTAAGCCAAAAATTCACAAACAGTCTTTATGCGTTTAATTAATGTGTGTGGAAATTAGCTCCGACATTGTTCGACCGTCAGCTGCACTCGACGGCCCCCCGGCTGGACAATTACTCTCCCCCTCTCTTTCTCCACGTCTCCACACACAATTGACACCTATACATACATATATTTTTATAATACACTGAGCGAAATAGCCAAGTAGTATGTGTACTAAGATAAACAAAAACCGGTTAATATGCAAACAAATAACAGTTTAAAGAGAGCTCGAGAATACATAAAATATAATACGTGAAAATAGTATATACAAATTTGTAGACACGTTCGAATTGGCTTTGTCTGAACTGAGTCACTGAAAGCTCAGTGTGTACTGTATACGATATTGATACAGGTGACGACTATACAGCGAGTCGATTGATCTGCTCTAGAACTAGTTGATTACCTCAGATATATAAATCTTATTCTTCAACTTCAACTACTCTTGTAATTGTAGAAGCAATCCTATAATTTATTGTAATTTCTTCGAGTGTACTTAACCCTTTTCCTATTCAGGTGAATTTACATATATACTTAGGCTGGCCATTGAGCGACTCCTATGCAATTTGAGC